TGTAAAAATCATCTGCGTCCAGTTATATATTCATTTATTATTTTAATTGCATGTTTTTATTGTAGCTGGATATCTATACTATTTATTGATACAAACTTAAATAGTGTCGTAAAAGCATTTAACACAATTTGGAAAGCAAAACTTCCAAAAGCGTACAAAGGATCCCCATCTCCCCCTATATTCGGCGAGTCGCGTGTACGTATCTCCTGTAGAAATCATTTGCACGACGTTTCCGGGGTAAGAAAAATATATCTTCGGCATCGCTCGCGCACGGACTCCGTTTTTTGAGTAGGAATCCGTGCGCGGAATCGACGCGGTGCAAGATTAAGAAGTGCCGTGTGCTTGACAGCTTACCTTGAACGTAGAAAGGTTCGCCACGACGCAGGAGAGGATGGCCTCCCTTCCCACCGGGACTGTCACGTTTGTTATTGCCGCGGTGAAGCTCGGTGCCTCTGAAACAGGGCAATGTTAGAGTAAATGCTGAGTGACCCATTAACGACATTTCGTTATATATCGTTCACATCTGATCACGTTCCGAGCGATATTAAAGCGCGTCGGAAGGCGGACAGGACGTGTAAGATTATCGTGTGTAGCTGCAGGCAGCGGCTAAAATTTAGCCAACTAACGGCGCGATCTACGTGTGCAACTGGCAAACGCGACACCCAAGAACGCGATGAATTTCGTATGGTTGAAAGCTTAAATTAACGCTTGATTAAATTAATTGCCAAACGGAACGGAATACGCCTGCAGGTCCCTGCGACACGCGGAAACGCGACATCGAATCCTCTGTGTTAGCGCTCGTCCTAAAGGACCGGTGTACTAAATTTTCTATTATACCTATATACGTAATGCGATTAATTACGATTAGCGCGCTATATCAAGGAGAATAATGAATTAAACGCGAATATTATCAAAGAGCGTACGATTAAATTAAAATTAGCAATTTATTTAATTATGCGCCAAACGAATACGCCGCGGCGGTACACGTATATCATTCCCGGCTCCGGCTACGAAACGCAAAACATCGATCCAAGCGGAACAACAACAGGTCCGCGTCAAAATGACGTTAAAACAAATTGTGACTGATTGGAAAGTGACTTTTAATAATTTCAGAGTCATTTCGACGCTATTTTCATGTCACAATGAGTTTTTGTTCTGCCTCGGGAAGCCCGGCGTTGTGCGACGTCGATCCGACGAAACGCGGAGAGAACATCGAGAATTTCCAACACGAGCGAGAGAAGATCTTCTCTCGGAATCCGGCCGGATGACGCGTGACACCGCACGTAGTCTAAGTAACTCATTTCCGGCGTTTCGCTGTATCGGCATGCTGCCGAGAATTTACTGACGCGAAACAGTTTGGTTTCGCGCGACACATCACACACGCGCGCGCCGGCGACAGCGGCTGTTTGCCGAGAGAGCTGAGCGCAGGACGCGAGCGACGCGGCGCTGTGCTGGCACGTGTGTGCGCGCTGAAATATGTCTCCGTATCCATCCCGAAATGTTCACGTTCCTCGACAGCGCGACGCCCGCGCGTCTTCTCTCTCTCTCTCTCTCT